TGACTGGTAATTGAACTGTGACCTCCTGGTCAACCACCAAGGTCAAACTCCTGTTTTGCCTTTACCAGGTGGTTGAGGGGTTGACGCTCAACCACCAAGCCACAATGGCTGGGCAGAATTCAGTAATTTTTAAATAACTGATGTATAGAGCTATAACTTATACCATACAACCAATCTATTTCAAGTGTACAATTCATTGGTTTTTAGTATACTCACATGATTGTGCAATCATTACCAAAATCAAGTATAGAACATTTTTTATTACCCTTTACTCCCCAAACCCTGTATCCATTAGCAGTCATTCCCCTCTCCCCCTGCTCTCTCCAGGCAACACAAATCTAATTTTTGCTCCTATAGATGGCAAATTGTTCCTAAACCAGGACTTCCCTTGGGAGAAGATTCCTATTTTAGGCTTGCATTAGTTACCTATTGCTACTGAACAAACTACCCCAAAATTAGCAGCTTAAAACAACATACATTTATTTTCTCACAGTTTTTATGGAGTAGGGGTTCAGGTGCAGCTGCTTCAGGACCTCTCATGAGGCATCATGTGTTGGTCAAGGGTCTTACCTGAAGGCTCAATTGGGGAAGGATCTGCTTTCACTCTCACTTACCTTGTTGCTGGCAGGACTCGGCTCCTTGAGGATTATTGGACCGAGGGCCTCATTTCCTTGCTGGTTGCTGAGTGGAGGCCACCCTCAGCTCCTTAGCCAACGTGAGAATTTGCTAGGAAAATCATTGACTTATGATGGGGTTATGACCTGATAAATTCTTCGTAAGTTGAAAATATTGTAAGTTGAAAATGAGTGTAATACACTTAATCTACTGAACATCATAGCTTAGCCTAGCCTACCTTAAATGTGCTCAGAGAACTTACATTAGCCTGAAGTTGGGCAGATATTCTGAGTTTCATCTAAAGAGTAATTGCCTTTCTCTTCTCACCAGAAGCAGGGGACACAGATAGGCATTTTGTACACTTAATGAGATACAAAACAAAAACAAAAACAAAAACAAAATCCAAAAACTGCTGGCAACGCTATATTGATTGTTTATCCTTATGGTCACGGGGCTGGCTGGGAGCTGCGGCTCACTGCCACTGCCCAGCACCGCGAGAGAGTATTGTTCTGTATATCACTAGTCCAAGAAAGGATCAAAATTCAAAAATTTGAAGTACAGTTTCTACTGGATGCATATCGCTTTTGCACCATCATAAAGTCTAAAAATTATTAAGTAGAACCATCATCAATCAGTCAGAGACCATCTGTACTTGCCCACTATTCTGCAATTTTGTGAATCTGGTTTCTATTGATCTAGTTCCTTTATCTGTGAGCTATTAGCACTGCTAATTACTCCTTCTTTTTCAAAGTTGTGTCTGAATACTTTACTACCTCAGAGCCAGCTAGCCAGCATACATCAAAAACTAGTTTAGATGTTAATCTCCACAAAGATCATAGAAGAGAGGTTAGGAACCCTCAAATTAGCCTTATCAAAATTGTTAATGGAACAGCCCATAAATTCTCCTATCTAACCCAGGGTTTTTGCAGTTTATCCTCATTTTGGCTATGACCAGAAGGTTGTATGCGTTCTTTCTTAGAGGGTCTGTAGAATTTTAGTATCAGACATCCAGTGCCAACTAGCTTAAACAAGAAAAGGGAATTTGTTGTCTCACATAACTAGGAGAACTACTGGGGTGGCTCACAGGATCAAAAGAAGAACTATAGAGCTCCAGGGCCTCCAACCAGTGGCTCCGTGCGGGCAGTTCTCGCTGAAGCTCTTGTTAACATCTCATCATCTTTGTGTCTCTCTTTCTTGGCCTCATTCTTCACTATTGCAATCATGCCTCCATGACTTTTAGTTTTTCAGCCAGAAGAGAAAGAAGGGTTGGGTCTGGTCTTTAGTCCCAATGCCAGGAAGATGGGATACTATGCTAGGCCAGACCTGGGCCACATGGCCATATTCCTGTGGTCAGAAGAAGGACCACGAAAAAAAACTACTGCTCAGTACAGGCTCTGTCTCAAGCCCATTGTCAGTGCCCCCTAACCCAGGCATAGACAGATCAACCTTGTAAGTGATCCCTGAAATATTCAAAATCCCCGAAAAGTAGAAGACAGTGCCATAGGCTATGGTAAGGCCCTGCCTGGGAACTGTGGCTTGGGGGAATTCTGTTTTGGGTTTTCACAGAGTCTTAGAATTCATTTCATTGCACCCAAGGTCCACTGTCTTACCTATTGGTAAAATAGAGTCACACTGAATTTTTCCAGTATTGATTGTACTTGTTCCCTAACTACTTGACAGTTGAAAAGTTATTGATGGGGATGTGAAGGCCAGGGATGAATGGAAAATAGCTGCCCCAAGGTGGGGGAGTGAGGGCATGTGCTGGGGGGTAAGGGAGGCAGGGGGGAGGTACATGGGGGGAAAAAAGAAGACATATGCACTACTATTTGTAATACTTTATTTTTTTTTTAAATATATTTTGTTGATTTTTTTACAGCGGGAAGGGAGAGGGATAGAGAGTTAGAAACATCGATGAGAGAGAAACATCGATCAGCTGCCTCCTGCACTTCCCCTACTGGGGATGTGCCCGCAACCGAGGTACATGCCCTTGACCGGAATCGAACCTGGGACCCTTCAGTCCGCAGGCCGACGCTCTGTCCACTGAACCAAACCGGTTAGGGCCTATTTGTAATACTTTAAACAACAAAATAAAAAATAATAAAATAAAGAAAAAAGAAAGAAAATAACTGCCCATTTCATGGGCTTATGACCAAGGTTAAACTATATTAACAAAAGAGGCCAGAGACTGGCCAGCACTGATCAGTGGTTGAGGGTCGACTTATGAACCAGGATGTCATGGTTCGATTCCTGGTCAGGCACATGCCTGGGTTGCGGGCTCAATCCCCAGTGGGGGGCGTGCAGGAGGCAGCCGATCAATGATTCTCTCTCATCATTGATGTTTCTATCTCTCTCTCCCTCTCCCTTCTTCGTGTATAATTATAAAGCACCTCTATTATTGGAATTTTTTTCCAACAAAATATTTTAAAAAGAGGCCAGAACTTTTTATTTACTACTATTCTCTGTGATTTATGGGCATATTGTTGACTTTTGTTTTTAACCTTTCAAGTAAGGAATATTTGACAAGTTTATGAAATTCACATGTATTCAGAGACTCATTAATCTTAGTGCCAGGGTAAAGCTTGTTTTTAGACCCATGGGATCTTGGATCTTGATCTTGGATTGAGATCAAGATCAGTCAGACTTGACTTTTAGAAGAAGTAATGTTGTGCTCCCTTTATTTTTATTTTTATCTTTTAATATATTTTATTGATTTTTTACAGAGAGGAAGGGAGAGGGATAGAGAGTCAGAAGCATCAATGAGAGAGAAACATCGATCAGCTGCCTCCTGCACACTCCTTACTGGATATGTGCCTGCAACCAAGGTACATGCCCTTGACCGGAATCGAACCTGGGACCCTTCAGTCCGCAGGCCGACGCTCTATCCACTGAGCCAGACTGGTCAGGGCTGTTGTGCTCCCTTTAAATATGTATATTGACACTGGAGTAATCCTAGTAATTCTTTCAAGGAAGTACTACAGTGGGGTCTTTGTAGGGAATTCCTCCCGGTCTAGGACTCTTCACAGTTGCTTGCGGATGTACTCACAGCTGATCACTTGTTCTTTGGTGGTTCTTTATGGAGGGCCCTGACTGTGCTAAGTGATAGAAGCAATTGTGTAGGATAATCTGCCTGATCCTACATACTTAGAGCTGGTTTAGGGTTTTGCCCCAAGTAAGGAAACAGCTCACTTCTAAATTTAGATTGGGATCCAGTATTAAGGATGGCAGGGTAGAGAAGATAAAACCTACTTGATATCTCCCAGAAGCCAAGGGGCATATAGAGGGTGGGAACTTGGTTCTTGGTTCAGACAGACTTGGGTTTGACTCTTAGCAAAGACACCCCCTAGCTTTGTGACATTGGGAAATTAGTTCACTTCTGTTTTCTCATCTATAAAAAGGGGCTGATACAAACCCAAAGGGATTATTTGATGTGTTTTAATAACATAATCCAAGGAAGACATTTAGCACTGTGTGGGCACATTGCTTGAAAATCACTGTGAAAATTGTAATAACCTTGGGAATCATGATTTTTTGGTCCCTGTGTGTCCTCTTTCCATCATGCACTTATGACCTCTCCCAAGTCTCCATACACAGAGCAAACCACCACTACCACCTGGGGGCGGGGCATGAGGTCTTCAGCAGAGACTTTAGAACCAGGGTGACTTACATGCAGGATTCAATTCTCAGAGATCCAGTTCCTCAACTGCAAAGTGAGACAGTAACACAGGTTGTGAGGGTTAGAGATAATAATGAGCTCCACTATAGGTTGGCTTTTTAAAAATTCCTTATCTGGCCATCTCTGTGGGCCCAGGCCATGGTGGCGGTTTAAGTGAGGATCTCTAGAAGACAAACCTTAGCTGTCCCTGATGTCAGTGTTTTCCTACTAGCCCTGAGCCAGACTTCATTGCTTTTAGTTCTGGCCTGCATGATTTCCTTTAAACCAAGGTCGCTGGAGCCATGATAATGGGCACTGACACTTGGAAATATGCTCTTCAGATAACTCATCCTGGCATGATTGCCAATTAAGAGGCAACATAGAGATCGCTCTCAGCCCCACCGAGGGTGGATGTGTCAGAAGACTGAACTACAAATGCACACTAATATGGTTGTGATTTTGCATCAAGACTGGCAAGAGACATTAGCAAAGAAAAGATTTGTTTGATATAGAAAAAATGATGTTCAAAGGTCAAAATTTCTTGAGGAAGGTTCTCTTTGTTTCTGTCTGGTACCGGAAAGCTACAAATCAATAAAACGTCTGCGTTTGCCCAGGTTATTCATTCTTCGTATCGCAGATTCTTCCCCTGACACCACTGCACATGAGTCCCTGTTCAGGAGAAGAAAAGCATGGGGATGTTTGAAAGCTCTGTGCCATCTGCTGACATTCTCCCTGCTTGTGCCTTGCAGCCTACTTCTGCTTCCTCCTGACTGCTCTGGGTGTGACAGCTGGTGCCCATCGCTTGTGGAGCCACAGGTCCTACAAGGCCAAGCTGCCTCTGAGAATATTTCTGGCTGCCGCCAACTCCATGGCTTTCCAGGTAGGGATGGTGCACATTCCTCCACACACATTCTAGACTCAGGGCTCTGGCCCCAAGCACTCCCTGCCTCTCCCGAGTTTTAGCTGCTTGGGGCTTTACATACTGTAAAATGTCACCTGGGGACTGCGTGGCTCAAGACATGCTGAACCACAGAGGAGGAAGGAGATACCTCCCTCCAGAGTCCAAGCCCTCCATATGCCCTGAAACCCTCTATTTTTGTCCAGCTCTAATGAGAGCCAAGTTCCGTGCTGAGTATGCTATGTACATATTGCATTTGATCCTCCCAGTAACCCCATGCATTAGGTGCTGTGTATTCCTGTTTTACAGATGAGGAAACTAAGGCTTAATGAAGTTAACGAATCTCAGGGAAGGTGGGGGAGGGTAGATGGGTGGGAAGTAATCAACCAAAGACCTTGTATGTATATATGCAGAACCCATGGACACAGACAATAGGGTGCTGAAGGCCTGGGGTGGGGGGTGGGGAGGTTGGAGGGGGTCAACGGGAGAAAAAGGGGACATATATAATACTTTCAACAATAAAAAATTATAAAAAAAGAAATAGAATGTAGCCAAATTATATGACTAAAAAATGGAACATCTAGAGTAAGCAAATTCGGGTCTGATACAAAGCCATTAATCCTACAAAACATATTTTTGAGGTCCCCCTCTAAGTTTGTAGTGGAAAGTCTATTCAATATGGAGTCGGAAGACTCAGGATTTGAGTCTGCTGGTTGCTAGTTGTGTATAACTTACTCATCTCCAGTTTCTTCATCTGTAAAAATATGAATGTGACTTTACTCCCAGAGCTGTTATGAAACCATTGAAAATTTCAAGGAGCTATAACAATGTAAGAGAGCGTCACACTGCCCTGGGATTGGGCCATCATTCTCAGGACTGTTCCAGTCCTAGGCTGTTTCCCACCAGCTGGGTCACTTTCTGAGCTGCTGGAAGTTTGGATGGATCATGGATCTCTGTTTTCCAGTTCCTCCTCTGATCCAGGCAGGGTGAGTGGGAACAACTTGTTCTCAAAGTCTCTGCCCATATATGAGTGCAGGTGATTCCAGACCCATTGAATTTTCACCCATTGGGAAAAAATGGCAATTCCCCAAACTGCGTTAGGATCCAAGGAAGCAAATGACCCAGAAGCCTCTCTGTGACTTCAGACATGCACGTCGCATGGCCACCTCTGCAATGGGCCTCCCATCCCTGTAAGACAGCCTGACCTTCAGCATTTCTCTGCAGTGCTCTTGTGTCTAAGAATCTGAATCCCTATTTAAGGCTTCCCTCCTACAGTTGGGGCATTCGTAAAGCAAATAGGATCTAACACAATAGATCGCGTAGGGAGCACAATTCGTATTCTGAACACCTACTGGTTATAACTCAAGCACAGTCGGGAATTAGAACCGCGGTTCTCGGGTAGAAGCTGTTGGGCACAAAGGAGTGGTTGGCAGCTTCTTGGTTTTATGTTTTGTTCACCTCTGGCATTGTGAACTGCACTGCACTTTGTTTTGACTTCAACCATCTTAGTTCAATGTTGTGCTTTTTCATCATAACAGTGAGTTATAATAATAATAATTTAGAAACTCATTGACTCAGGTCTTAGATGCTATTTAGGACTTAACTCAGTAATTTTCATTTATTTTGTTTAAGCAGCTTATTATTTTTAGCCTCCAATTATACACTCGTATAAAGCACCTCTGTTATTGGATATTCCCCCCAACATAAATAACTTGAAGTTGAGAGCCTAAACCTCTTTCCCACTGAAACTATTTGTTTGTAACTCAGTTTTTTAGAACCGAAGTTTCCTTAAGAAAACGTCCCATAATGGAACATCACACGGTGATTTTAAATTTACTTTGGCGAGAAAGTTCATTGTAAGCCCAGGTTCTGGAATAAGTTCTCTGCCATTTGCTATATGTGGGCCTTTGTACAGGTCTCTGTTTCTTTAAATGCATCGGGAGCAGGGTAATAATACCTGCCTCACAGAGTTGTTGGGAGGATGGAATAATGAACAAAAAATGCCCAGATTATAGTAGCACTCAGAGAATATCCTTACCCCTCTTCTTTATTAGAATTGGCACACCATCTCATTCATTTCTGTATTTTAGTGCCTATCATATGGAAAACCCTCAATGATTGTTGTTAAATGAATGAGTAATTTTTAAAAATATTTTTAGAAATCATCAAATTGGAACTATTCCTGCATGTCTCAGGGCCACATTTGTGGTGGATTTTTTTTTTTTATTTAACAGATGTTTATTGAGCACCTACTATGTGGCAGCCACTGAGCTAAGCCACAGTGGGTTTAATGATTAGCAAACACACAGTCCTTGCCTTCATGGAGCCTTCTATCTAGTGGGATATTAGAATTTCTATAGTTTCCCAGTGGAAATGTCAGTGCTCCATGGGTCTGGGGTTTTATAACAATGTCACGTAGACCAAGTGAGAGGTACTTGTAAGATCAGCCAAGGGCCAGCTCCCATACAATGCATAACTGTATCAGAGGAAAAAAATGCAGTCAATCCACACCACTTAACCATAGGTACAGAACCACCTGGGAAAGTAAAAAATGTGCTGTGATCTGCCAGTCTAGGGTATTGACCTATAGCTCTGACTTAGTGCAGAGTCATTGATTTAGTTTCCCTTTGATGTCCCCCTGGATTTTTAAAGATAGTTTCAAGGGTTCTCTTCTGCTTCCATCAAAATGGTCATGCTGTTGGCCAAAATGGACAAATACAGCGGTCATTTTTGAGGATCAGCAGGGCTTTTTCTAGATGCTACACACAAGATTTTGATCATCAAAAACAATCTTCTTAAAATTGGGACTTAGACATTTGAAATTCCCTTTTCTCTTTCTTTTGTATAGAATGTATGTACTGGGCAGGGGGCTCTAGTGAGAAAGGTAGAGGTTCTTCTGGTCTGAAAAGATGTCTTTCCACTGTTGTCTTGGATTTTCCTAGAGCAGCGGTTCTCAACCTGGGATTCGAACGACCCTTTCACAGGGGTCGCCTAAGACCATCGGAAAACACATATATAATTACATATTGTTTTTGTGATTAATCACTATGCTTTAATTATGTTCAATTTGTAACAATAAAATTGGGGGTCACCACAACATGAGGAACTGTATTAAAGGGTTGTGGCATTAGGAAGGTTGAGGACCACTGTCCTAGAGACTTCTTCTTAAATAGAGATTAAGGCCTTCAGTTCTTTCATTTGAAATCCCGTTATCATACAGGAGCCCTGTTGACGTGGAGATAAGGGGAAGCCTCCTATAGCCCTATGATTGGGTTTCAGTCGTGGTGATAAGCCTGAGTTGAGTATTTCCCTCACCACGGTCAGTCAGGCTTTGGTAAAACCCAGTTGAGTGGGCTCTGGTAAATAGTTTCTCTTGAGAACAGACCTCACTAAGGAAAATAGAGAGCTCTGTGCAGAGCTGACATTTCAAAGCGGTTACTTTTCTCCTTTTCCTGCTAGAAGAGCAAGGGAATTTTTCCAGCTATTCATGGTGAGAACCTGGTAGGGCCCCTGGAGGTAAAATTCATGAACATGTGGAGCCCCTTAGGACTGAGCCCTCTAGGAGTTTTAAATTATCAATAAGCCTCCAGTAATTCATCAATTACACTTTAAGGTAGTCCTACCCGTTCTGGCTTTTGCTCCTGGGTGTCTGCTTCCAGTAGGCTGTGATTCTCTGTAGCTGCCTGTTTGTCTCTCTAGTTTTGGGGGCAGCAGTTTATCTGTGATCTCAATTCTCTGATGGATCTAAGAATTGTTGCTTTTCAGTTTGTTTGGCTTTTTTTTTCTTGTTGCAAGGATAGGAGTGACTACTTCCAAGCTCTCTGCAGGTCAGACCAAAAGTGGAAGTTATTTGTGAATTGTGATTTGTGAATATGTCAAGTGAATCACATGGTCATGGGCCATGAACTTTGGCAGGAATATAACAACAAAAACAACTAGTTTTGAGTGCTAACCACACGCCAACATTTCATGAAGTACATTAGCCATCTGACAATACCCCTACGAAGTAGATATTGTATTGTCCTCATTCAATAGGAGATAAAATGAAGACAGATAGAGGCCATGTAACCTGACCAAGGACATACAGATTTGATAACAGAAGGGGGATCCAAGTGCAGATGGCTTGACTCCAGAGGTCACTTCTCACTGCTGCTCTAAGGCCTCTCCCAGGGTCCAGGTGTACCTGTACCCTTTCATTTTGCAAATACACGTGGGCTAAGCATTGTTCCCTGCAGTGGAGAACAAGACGGGTGAGGTGTCTGTCCTCAGAACGTGTATCTTACAGTGGGAGAGAGGAGCAAATAAATAAGTAAGCAGGAGAATATGAAGAATTTCAACACGGCAGTGTGACAGAGAGTGACAGGGAGGCAGCTTCTTTAGAGAGGATGGTCTGAGAAGACCTCGCTGAGGAGGTGACAGTAGAGCTGAGACCTGAGGGAGGGAACAGGTAGGGGGAGAGCATTCCAGACAGAAGGAGGAGCCAAAGCTAAGTGGGAACAAGCATGGTGCATCCAATGAAGAGAAGAATGGCCATTATGGCTGGTTCACGTGAGTGCAGGAGAGGGTCTTAGAAGAGGTCAGAGAGAGGGACAGGGGCCACCCCAGTGCAGGGCTCTGTTGGGCATAGCAAGGAGGTTGGATATTGTTGTAAAAGCCATGGAAAAGGACTGCAAGATTTTAGGGGTGTGACATGGCCTAATGTATTTCCATGGCACAAGGAGGACTCAGACCACAGTCATGAGAGCCCACAGACGTTTGTGCCAAATCAGGATCATAGACAGCCCCACGCTGGGTCTCTGTGGGTGTGCACATCGAGGAGGGAAACTTGGTGATGATGAGGCGAGGCTCTGGAGGACGGCTGGTGTTCGCAGCAGTGGGAGCAGTTGATTAGGAGGACAAAAACCTGGGCAGGACACTACTGCCGGCTCGAGAACCCTGAACCTTATGTGGCTCTCTGTGCAGGTTCTAACGCTCACTGCAGA